TTAATTTTTTAAAATGAAATTTTTATCGTGGAATTTTTTGTAATGAACATTTATTGAAATGGTTTCTCTCGTTGTGTAAACACTATTCCGACCCATTAAGGGGCCTATAGTCATGATCATTGCCACTGTTTTCTAGCAGACTTGACACCAGGAGAACTTCAGAACAGCCAGCTAGCATTCCCTGGAAAAGACCATGCATGAGCCACTCTGAGAAGAGTGGGTACAGGGCTGCAGTTAGGTCAAGGGGCTCTAGCAGCCCAGGAGCCCCTGTGAACTCTCATTGTTGAGCAGCCAGTTCTCCCTGCCAGGACCTAAAAACAAAGGCCAAAAGAATGCCAAGGTCAAATCTCATACTAAGGTTTAAGAAAAAGTGAATATGGAACAGAATAACATCCTTAGCAATAAAAGCACTCCAGAAAGAAACACCCACAAAATAGATCACAACTGTAATTTACTATTTTGAACAAGCTACAAGACATTTTTAAGAAGAGATGTAAGGCATGAAAGAACAATAAAAGATCAGAATTTAATAATCTCAAGTGAGGTGACACAACTCAGGAAATATTTATAAATAAGAGATCATTTCAGAAATGAAGATTAAACTAGAAAGAACACAAGAGCAAATAAACAAGATAATGCTGTAATAAAACAGAGGAGGAAGAAGTTTTAAATCAGAAAAAAATAAGGGAAAAAGAAGATTTACAGTTAAGTGATAAATATGGAAGACAGGCAAACATGATTCAGCCTACAAATAAGAGTCCCTCAAAACAAAACAAGGGAATGGAATAAATACCAAAAACAGTATTTCAAGAAAAATGTCCAGAAACTACAAAGAAACAAAACTTGAATCTATAAATTAAAATAGTACAGTGTGTATCTGAAAATAATACCCATGATGAGCAGTATCAAGATATATTTGAGTCACATTAGTGGACTTTAAAGACTAACAAAAAGTCTTTTGGGCATCAAGACCCGGGCTGTCCAATACAGTAGCCACTAGTCCCAGTGCTTGACACGTGGCAGGTGTGGACTGAGATGTGCTATACCTTCGTCCAAAGACACAGTATGAAAATAAAAAGAAAATTATCTCATTAATAACTTTTTATTTTGTTATGTGTTAAAATGATAATATTTTGGATATGTTGCATTAAATAAAATATATTTTTAAAATTACACCACTTTTTACTCTTTAATGTGGCTACTAGAAAATTTAAAATTACATATGTAAATTATGTATTTGACTTGTATTAATATTTTTTACACAGCTCTGATCAAGAACTCTAGCTTCTCTTCTGGATCAAGCCCGTAAACAGAACAGTTAGTTCTCTTTCTCGAACCAAAGGACCTCACTGAATAGAATTTTCATAGTCCTTTTGAGACTTTCTTTCTCCTCACTTAATCTGCTTAGACTCTCTCTCCTATAATTATTTTTCCTATAATTATTTCTCCTAACAGTGATAGGAATGCTTTGTCTTCCAGTATGAACCAGAGCATGGCAGTCCCTTCATCTGCATGAGGGTGAAGGAGGCTGTGCTGCAGCTGTAATGGGCACTTTGCTTATGTCCATCATAATCTGAGTGGACACAGCACACTCTCTGCAGAATCCTAGCTCTTTTTGTTCACTCTCTAGCTCTTTTTGATCTGAAGCATAACTACTGTCTTTTGTAGTTCCCTTTAGAAAGTCTACATTTTTCTCCTTCCCCCACTCCCTCCAGCTTTTGCATTCTATTTTTTACTGCTCTCCAATAGAATCTGTCCTTATTTTCTTTGTGATTTATCTTTTCCAGATAATTGGTTTAAAGGTGAGCTTCTGTGGAGTTAGTCTTGTAAACCACCTGTATTTGAATTGTTTTGCATTTAGGAAAAAATAATTTTCATTAAAAAATTTTTAAATCGCTGTTATGAGGGAAAAATAGAATTTCAGGGAAAATAAACTGGACCTTTCATTGGTCCATTGAAAATTTGAAATAGAAAGTCAGTAATTACTTGAAGATATTTTACAGAGACAGTTCATAAACTTTTACATAATTTCTGTATGTTCTTTAGAAGAATAAATATTACCATTCACCAATTCTCTCAGTCAGTTCAGTGGGAGGAATAACTCTTACACTGTCATGTTTATTCTCACACTACTGTCTCCAACCAGCCCTTCTTAGATTCAAATTAATACAAAGAATAAGCTGAATCATGATAGATCTAAAAGCAAAACACCATCATTATTTTGGGGAAAAAAAAAAAAGTTTTTTTTTTAATGCAGAATAGCTGTAGACATTTTCCTAAAGCAGAAACTCACTTTAGGGAATGAGTTCTTTTTTTACATGATATTGTTACTAGTCGGTATTAATGGAGATGAATTCTTGAGTGGTAGAATCGTCAGTGATAAGATAAACAGCCATTATTTTTGAACTCTTAAGTTGTGAATCATACTGGATATGACTATAATTGCAATTTTGTTTTTCATAAGATTTTTGTTGATAAATGTTTTAATAAAATGAAAAGAGTTATTTAATTTCACCTTTATCTGAATGTTGATAATTTGCTTAACTGTGTCTCTGGGAATCTTGACAATGCTATTTTTATATACGATATCTTTTCTTCATAAGTAACATTTTTGTTAGTTCATAATTTAGTCATCTATACATATTTCCTTGTTTTAAGAACACATTAGATTTTCTATCATGTTCTTCATTAGAGAGCAGGAAATTTTCTTTCTTAGTAATGCATATTGTTGACTAGGAAATCAGTATGTAGAGGAAGAAAGATTTGGATAGGATTATTTTCTAGCTTTTCTGCTATATTTTATAACTCATTCATAAAAACTAAGGCCTTGAGGTATATTGGTTACATTTAGGAGAGACACTGTCTAATTTTGCTTGTCAGTGAGCCTAGGCAGCCCATTTGGCATCCAAAATGGGGAGAATACCACATTCACCCACCACTTCTTAGATTATGTTTTCCCTCAGGTGCCTGTGGCAGACAAGCACATCAAAGCCTCCATGTGATTCCCATGGAACAGTCTCTGTGGCATCTCTGATTGTTTGTTTTTTACCCAAGTTACTGGTAAGGGAACTGTATATATAGCATTTCAGTGATAAAATGTGATTTAGTAAAACAGAACTCAAGTTTATCTCTACCAAACAGAATTTAGCAATCTCAGGAGTGATGGCAATCAAAACTTCTTGTTCATATGCTTGCATGTCTTCTAGAATGTGAAATTATCACCTCTTTGATCACTGGGTTATGTGTGTACCCTACTGTTCAATAGTATCTGTACACTCTAACTTTCCCCTGTCCATACCCCGTCCTCTTACCCCACCCACTGAACAAATTCACAGCACTGGGAGCTTCTCTAGAACCTTCAGTGTCTAGGTACACTGGATGTGCTTACTCTGAGCATATGGTTGTGGTGGAGGTGTTCTTAACGTATGTGCTTCATGTGAACATCTAACACAACACCACTTTACCAGAACTATTTTTAAGTGCCCGGATAAGAATATTCAGTTCAAACCTATAGACGTTGAGGAGAAACATAGTAGTAGAGCTGGGACCCGAGCACTTGCCTTTGCATTTCTATTCAGTGATTCGGTCCAGGGCACCATGACCACCTGTGAGAGCTAATCAAAGACAGAACATAAGAAATATTATCCTTTTTAATGTTTATGTTACTATTAATTTTTTTGATTTTCCTCAATTTCATTTTGGTATGAAAATTAAGTTGTGAATATAGTTGTATAAGGAGCGGGCGTTAAAGACAGGCATAGAAAAATAAGTGATCTGCAAGGAAAATGGAGAGGAAGAAGAAAAATTCATTTCTTACATGTTATAGATTTTATTTATACTCTGATTTCTTTGTTTTATGGAGAAGAAAGATTATACCCACAGAAATTAAAATGACTTGTCCAAATTCAGTTTAGTTGAAGTTATAACCCAGATTTTCGGACTCTACATTCAGTATTGTTTCTAATATGCTACACTGACTTCCCCCTGAAAAACAGGGAATTTCTTCATAAAAGTTAACTAAACCTGAAGCGAATACCACAGAAACGTGGAAAATATCTGAATTGAGAAACCTGTAGAAAATGTGGTGGGTTTCAATGAGTTTACACCTACATGAATCTGTAAATGTAGTGTACGCTTCCTAGAAGTCTTTGCCAACACCACTACTGTACCAGTTAGCTTTACTATGTCAAATTACCCCAAAACTTGGTTGTTTAAAACAACAGTCATTTATTGTAAATATTTTATAGCACCTAATCATTAGAGTCATACCTTAGCAAGTATTTGTACTTCTACCACCGAGCTTTCTATAAGATGACTGAAGCTTGTTGTGATTAAAGCCATATACTTCTTAAAGTGATACAATAGTTCTCAATTGTGAAGGCTGTCTTTAGAAAGGAAAGAGGAATTTATTTCCTCTGACCTTTATTTCACTTAGAAATAATAATGTTTCATCATAATGTAATCTGTATTTACATAACATTTCTCCCTTTTGTCTTTAAGCAAAATGTTTATTAAATGTTAAAAATGAATAATTATAGTTTTATAATTACAGATAGCATTCCTTGTGACCTTTTATACCACTGCTGTACCCTAATTATAGAAAACTTAAACTTGAGCATTTTGAAAAAATTATTATTGTTATTAATAATAGTTTACATTGGATTTTGTGGATTTCAGATTTTCTTCATGGGATTTAACTATGTCATTTAACTATGTCATTTTTAAACTAGCTGGGCACACTGTCACACTTGATTGACCATTCATGTTGCTGTTATTGTCAGGTTTACTTTTTGTCTGTGATAGAAATTTCAAGTATAAATTTCCAGATATCCTTTTGTAGTACTCATTATTGTCAAGAAGATATGTTTATCTCTGCTATCTTCATGCTAGATGTTTAAACTGAGTCCATCCTGAATTCAGAATCATTGTGTCCTTTCCTTTGTGTGCTGCTTTTTGCTCCTGTTAGTGGTAAATCTTACTTACATCCCTTTTGTTTGCAGTGTCCCAGTTTGAAACGGAATTCTACATCAGTGGACTTGCACCTCTCTGTGATCAGCTTGTTATGCTTTCCTACTTAAAGGAGGTTTCAGAAAAAACGGTAAATTATTTCACCCCAAATGCAAAGAGAATTGTGGGTTCATTTTTAGCATTACACCAGGTTAGGTTGCCCATAAAAGGACACTGCTATAGTCTGAGCAGAATTTCCTGACCTATAAAATAAGGTCGGCAGAGATTACCCCGTAGATCTAACATATTTACCTTTCAGAAGCTCCACTCATTGCCTGCCTTTGTTCCTTTTGCTGAGCAAAGGGCGGTCATTTATTTTCTCTCTCTCTCTTGGTATTTTAGTCGAAAGGAATGAAAGATTTCTCTTGCTGAAAGTCGAAGAAACTAAGCTGACACTGTGCATTAGCAGAAATGACAGCAATGAAGTTGATCTGCTGCAACAACAGGGGTCCCTGTGGTCAGAGGGAATTGCAGAAAGGGCAGTTCATTTTTTCCTGTGGTCCAGACATATTTGTTTACTTCCCAGTGGCCCAGTGATTCTGAGTAGCTTGATTGTTGCTTTAAAATACATCGTTGCTAAGTCTCTGTTATCGGTACAAATGATAGAATGAAATGTATGGCTCAATAAGAAGCAGCAGAGAATCTAAATTTTGTTATACATGACTTTGGAATGAAGCCTGTATATATGGTCCAGTGGAGGGGCGTGCACACTCAGCCTCCCTTTGAAGCCTAGGTCAGCCCCATTCCCAGCTTGTCTTTATTGTTGGAGTCCAGGAATCCTGCCAGGAAGGGGGTAGGAGTAGCTTCAAGGCATAAACAAGGAGAGCTTATTGTAAAGGATTTTCTTTTGATGTTATATATAAAAGAAATTGCAATTGATTATCTAGCCCTTTACAGTAAGTAGGCTCTCCTTCTCTGTCTCCTCTCTTTCCCCACCTCCCCCCCCCGCCCTTTTTCAAATACCAAGGAATAAAATGGGGAGAAAAACCCTTGGAGCCCTGGTTTTGAAGTGGTAGCTTATCTCAAGCATTTCTCTGAGAAATTACTTGCATCAAGAAACCATCGCTATAGTAACCTGAAGCTCTGGGTGCCTATGTTGCTAGGCAATAGGATGCTGTAGACTTAAGTGAACACTCAAACCTGCTAAAATCAATAGGGCTGGCTTCTAGCCGTGTTGCAGGTCATCAGTTTATTATTATTTTATTTATTTTTTGTAAAATAAAAGCAGTGTCTCCAGAGGGAGTAAATACAGTACTTTCTGATGAGGAATGTGAGGATTGAGAATGTGATCGAAAGACATAAGGAAAGAAGCAGTAAAATAAAAAAGGAAAAGCCTAGTAAACAATTGACCAAAAGAAGAAAGAAAGAGAGGAAACTTTTGTTAATAAAAGAGTATTAGAATAGAGTAAAAGCCAAGGAAGACCAACCTCAGAGAGTAAATTAGAAAATAGAATTTTTTCGGAGAAAGAAATGAGAGTCTTGGAGATAATTTAGTAATGTGCGTGTTACTGTACATAGCTATTTATGTCATGTAACATCAAAGTACACCTTAAGCCCTTAAACAGAGAATAAACTGATAAAATTAAGACAAAGGAATAAAGAAACAAGCTTGGGGCTAGCCATGCCCCTCCTTTTTTCATATCAGAAAAATAAACTGTAACACTAAACAGAATTCATTTTTGTATCACTCATAATAGTATTTCCCAACATAATTTTCCTGTTGTACCTTTAACATATGTACATGTTTCCACATAGTTGCAATCCGAGTTACAAGCTATTCTGTATTGCCATATTTTTTCGAGCATTTCCTTCTCTTCATATGGCTGTATAGTCTCCCATAATTATTGCTTATAGTGGTTGTGTACCTTAATTTATCAAGTTGTTCCTCTAATGTTTTGTTTTTTCTTTCATTCATTAATAAAGCATGTGTGTTAAGAATTGTGCTAAGCATTGGGAATCAGAGACCGACAAGACCAAATTCCTATTCCTAGGAAGTTCACAGATAACAGGGCTGTTTGACCAGCGAACAGAGGTTACAAAACAATGAGATGAATTACATTGTTGATGGTTTTCTTATACGTATAAAGGAGCTATTTATATGGTCTACCAAGGCAGTTTTCTTGTAATGTTTTTGGTTCAAATATTTTTTTTTTTATTTTTCTATTTTTATTTTTGTTATAGTAGTTAATTTTTTAGATATTCAGATCTTACACTTTTTCCTTCATTTTTTTTTCTGTTTCCAAATTGAGATATTTTTGTTTCTCCACAGATCTAATAAATTATGCTCTTTATTCACAGTTTTTTTTTTTTTTCTGTACTAGCTGATCTTTTATAGTTGCTGTTTTATTTTGGAATGTTTTATTTAAATGTATGAGTTAAAAAGCTCATGTAATTGCTTCTCCGTTAACCTACCAAAATTGATCCAAGAAATCTTCGAAGCTTATTCACTTAGGGAACTTGAGAGTTGGTGGTAGCTCTGGTCTTCTTTCATTCTATTATATTCATCTGTGTTCTCTATGCTAGTGTCAAACTGCTTCCGGTCTCTTTGCTTTGGAAAATAGTCAAGTGTATGTTTTATGCCTGTGTGCTTAGTGCTCAAAAAGCATGAACTTTGAAGTAAAACAAACTTGATTTTAAATCCAAGTTTCATCGTAAGTTTTTTCACAAATCCCAGTCTCACCATTTACTTATGTAGCTTTGACCTTAGTAAACTTTTTGATCCTCAGTTCCTTCATCTGAAAAATTAGGAACAATAATACTTACTAAGGGGTAATTTAAGAACTTTATGAGAATAATCTGTGTATTTGCTAGGTTAGTGGAGCTCTTAAAGGCCCTCAATAAATCATCTTTTCTCCTTATATCTTGATGTAGAAGTGCACTGTCCAAAACTGTAGTCACTAACCATATGTTTAAAGCTAAATTAATTGAAAACTAATTTTAAGTTAATTAAAATTAAATCAAATTTAAAATGCAGTTTCTCAGTCACCATAGTCACATTTCAGGTGTTAAGCAGGCACCTGCATCTCGTGTCTGTCACACTGGGCAGTGCAAACTGAGGACATTTCCATCATCTCAGCAAATTCTGCTTTAGGCATAAATTTTAATCTCTGGCTTTTTAGCATAACTAGCAAATTTAATAGCGGCAGTGTTTTGGTTAATATAGTAGTTTGTAATATGATTTTTACTTTTTTTCATATTGTGAGGAAGAGATGTAACAAAGTTGTCTAAGGCTGTGGTAGCCTTCCCCTTGGAGTTGAATGGGCTTCAGTGGTGGACTGCTGCCATGACACAGTAGTACCTCTCTTTTTTTTCTCATGCAAAAGGTCAGAAAATAAAACTCAGTTACGAGGCAGGTCTTCAGTTACAAAGAGCTTAAACCTGCCAAAATTATAAAATCAAGTATTTCATTATGGCTAACTAGAATTAATTTGTATACTTTATAGAAATGTAATTAAAATGAGCCTTTTCCTTCTCTTTTTTTCCCACTAGGAAAGAGAATACTGTGCCAGGCCCAGATTGGATATTATCCAGCCGCTTTCTGAGACTTGTGAAGAGATCTCTTCTGATGCTCTGACAGTGAGAGGCTTTCAGGAAAATGAATGTAGAGATTATCACTTAGGTGAGAGAGATCGTGGATCTGGCTCATGTTATTTCTTACATTTAGATTGTCCCCTTGCACTTGAGCAGTACAACCGGGAACATCTGGGCAGGCTTCTTATGTTGAAAATGAGGGCGTTGAGGCTGAGAGATATTATAGAACTTGCTTGAGCTTCCACAGCAGAAGGGAGGGGAAGCGATGGGGCCAGGGCTGAGGTGAGTAGGTTTTGTGTTTTTGGTTCTTATACTTGGCCTCGGTGTCCTATTAAATGTGACACCTAACTTATATTGATGTCAGGCAACATGGTCCTGTATCATTCCCAACCTCATGTTCCGAGACAGGGTGCTCTGGAATGTCAGAGAAGTTATCTTCTGTTTGTGTAAAAATGCTCCGAGCCTAGAAGAGTGCCTGGCACTTGCTGGGCATTCACTGAATATTTGTTGAGTGGGTGAATAAATACACTTAGTCACTGCTCAGAAATAAAGGGAGAACCATTGCTATTTAGTCATAACAGAGGCAGCTGTATTTGGATGTCTTCTCATCCTTGAAAAATACATTGATGAAAGTAGAACAGCTTAAGCTTTTTAGAAATTCTTTCCCACTTTAAAAACAATCGACATATTTTGAGAATATTTTTAGTTCTCAGTTTGACCAAAAGAAATGAAGAAATAATCTCTATATGTTTGAGCTTTCTTACATGAAGCTCCTAATCAGCTGAGAAATATGAGAGTATAGTCTGGACTTGGCAAAAAGCAAATGTGATTCACAACTGAAAGCACCCCATCTAGGTATTTTGCTCAGAGCAAACTCTGCTGCACACTTAGAAACCTTTCAGAACAGGTTTTATAATTGAATTCTGCAGGAAACCTTCACATTTGGTATTGTGTACCACATGCTGAAATGATAGATTATGTCCCCAGGGCTTGGGGCATCTGTCATTTATGTTTTAGATGGCCTTGACCTTGACGAGGAGGAAACATTTATGGCAGACTGTGGGGTGTAATTGTTCTGTACAAATAGAACAATGCTGTAAATGGCCATAAATAAAGTTTATATACAGTACATGAATTCTCATATTCAGTAGACATGGAGAATTTTGAACATTATCTTTCAGCTGAGGTCAGAATGTTAATATATTAAACAAAGAATTTTAAACCCATCTTATTTTTAAAAAGTATTTTTGGTATTTCCTCCCTCCTCCTTCCTTTCTTCTCTTCCTTTCTCCTTTCCTTTCTTTTTTCCTTCCAATTAATTTTACACTTAAAGACCTTTTAAAGCAGTGAAATATATACTATCATTCTCTACACTGTGTCCCACCCCTACCTTCAAACAGAGCCAACCACCCTTGCTCCAAAGGTAGGCGAGTTTTCTATTCACTCTTAATAAGTTGGATAGCCTAACCAAGTCCCCTGACTCTACAGCCAAGGTTTCTGTTGAGTCACCCGAGGTGTTCCTCTTTTCTCTCACCTATAGAGTACTCTGAAGGGGAATCGCTTTTTTATATCGTGAGTCCAAGAGATGTAGTAGTAGCCAAGGAACGAGACCAAGATGACCACATCGACTGGCTCCTCGAAAAGAAGAAATATGAAGTATTTTTTATTTTACTTTCTTAAAAGTATTGACATGTCTTTAGCATAGAGAGGGCAGAAGGTTTTTGTAATAAATCTTTTATATAGACAAATTAGAATGCCCTAAGCTAAAAATACATCAGAGGCTAATAATTTTCCAATATTCTTTATAGAAATTAGAAAACAAGATCCCAGGGAGGTTAATTGGCTTTACTGTTCAGTGGAGGAGGAATTGGTGGTGGAGGGAAGGAGTGGATTAGATCTAGCATATTGAAGTGTTTATTTTGTGCTTTTTCAAGGAAAATAAAATAGAGCTAGTATTTTAGAATTGTCTATTTGGACATTTTCGTGAAATCATTCATTTGGTGCTGATTTCATATGTAAAAGTAAAGCTATCAAATTAATCCTATTTGGGATGGTTTGAACTACCCGTTCAGATAGAATGATGATGTCCACTTCTTTGAGTCTTGGTTCAGACTGATTTTAGTAGCTAATGTCCCATCATGATTTCATTAAAAAAAACAGAAAGTAGTTTTTAATTTTAGAAACTGGAAAGGCATTATTGTATTGGCTTAGAGAAACTCTCTGGATGGGCTTATATACTAATCAGCTAAAGACAAACAAACAAATAGTACATTTATTTGTTGCTTTAAGTTTGCGACCACCTGAAAGTAATTCGGGAAAAATGTTTTTAATTTGTAAATTGTTTAGAGTCCAGGTATTGATACCAAGTTTATACCCCAGTTATTACCGTATTGCTTTAGCTCTACTAGTTTCTTAAAGAAATAATTCTGTTTTAAACATTTGTGTTAAAGTAATAATTGTAAACGTTCCAAAATAAAAATCATATCCGAGATTTTCAAAATCCTATTTGTAGATATACCTAAACATATGCATAAGTTTACTTTTATATTTTATAAAGTAAAATATATTTACTTTATATTTTATTTTTATATTTTATATTTTATAGTCCCTTTGTCACATATACATCATATAGATTTAGAATGACAGAAGAACTGTTTGTTTGAACTTTTTATATTTTATATTTTATAGTTCCCCTTTGTCATATACATCATATAGATTTAGAATGACAGAAGAACTGTTTGTTTGAACTTGGGAGATTTTGTCATATTTTGATTTGTGTCTGAAATGTGATTCTAATATGCTAATGTGGAAATGAATTCAAATGGAAATAAGAGAAGTCTTCATTTTGGTTGACTGCTTTTGTTTAAACATTCATTCAACCATAACATTAGAAATTCCTGTGCTCTGAGCAAAAGCCATGGGAAAAAGGGGCTTTATTTATGTAGTCCAGAACTTTAAAACATAATAAATATAGTGTTTATAACCTCAATATCTTCCTATTCCACTCTCCTCTATTTTCCCTCCCTCCTCTTCTACTGCTTTTATCATGCTATATAAATATAGGAAGCTTTGATGGCAGCTGAAATTAGCCAAAAGAACATTAAAAGACATAAGATTCTGGTAAGTGAATGATTTTATTACTTGAAACATAACTTTGCTTTTTAGTAAGTTGTAATGAGACTGAAAGTAATTTGAAAAGAACAGATTTTTCCTACTTTTTGAGAATTTATTTCAAACTAATTCTCCAACCTATGAGGTCAAAATATTTCCTTTTATTTAATCAATTTCTGCTTGTGAACAAGAGACTTGAACACTTGCTAGGAGGTAGTTTTAGGTAATTTGGAAACTGAATTTGTGAAATACACTTTAAATACAAAGCTTTCCAGTTATGTGTGGAGAAGTTTCTTTAAATCACATTATTACAAAATTTATCAAGAGTGGTTTCATAAAAGTAGATTGCTTTAGTGTCTCCATAATAGCAGACTCAATTGATTTTGTTATGGATACTAATCTAGGACATCAAATACATTTTTATTACATTTGGACTCTGGGAAAATATAGTGACTGAAAGCCTATTTCTTTGCTAACTGTGATAGTGACTGTGCAGATGGAAAGCAAAAAAGAAATCCTATTCTCTGAGTGTGAAGAGCCCTTAGACACCATTAGCCCAGGACCCTTTTTACAGATGAAAACTGGAAACTTAGTCTTTTATGGGAATTTCAGTTCGGCATAAATTTCTTCTACCTACACTTTCCCCACCTTAAACTTCTCTGTAAAACTCCACATAAAAGCCTAATTCCCGAGAGTGTACCAGTAAAATAATAAAGGAACTAAACGAAGGAGAAAAAAACCCTAGTGTGGTTTTTTTTTTTTTTTCATTCAAAATTGCGGAAATAAGCAAAGATTATCTAGAAATGGAGCAGAAGGCATTCCAGCCAGTAGAATAGTATATGTGACAGTGCAAAGGAGTGAAACTACTTGTTGTGCTTATTTATGTGGAATAGTTGAGGTAGCAAGGGTCAGATCCTGAAGGGTCATGTGTAGTTAGGAGCTGGCTCTGTCTTCCAACCTCTAGAAGACAATTTAAGCTTTCGGTGCCACAACAGATATGCTTATTGGAAAGATTCTGTGATGGAGATGGGGACCAGAGGGAGGCCAGCGGAGATGGGAATCAGTGAGGTATGATTCCTTTCTTGGTGTGGAGGTGGAAGTGATGAGACCTGCAGAGTTGTTAGCAATGGAGTAGTGAAGACAGATGGAAGAAATGGTCAGTTGGGTGTTTGGGATTTGGTGACTGGGTCTATGGAGTGGTGGGAGAGGGGAGGGGAGAGGAATAGAGACTGTGTAAGGAGGAGTAGGATCAGGTGTATGTATTGGGGTGAATTCTGGTTTATTATGGTTTGGACGCATTGAGTTTTAGTTGCCTATGTGACATCCTAGTGGAGCTCAGGGAAGAAATCTGGACTCAGAAATAGTGTCAGTGAATTGTGTGTGTTTGGAGCAGTCCACACAGTTGAGTGTCATAACATCAGAGAACAGAGGACTGTCAGCGGAACCTTTGGGAACACCACATTCAAGGGATGATGTGTACAAAACAGATTAGGAATAGCCAGAGGGAGGTTGTGTCTTGGGAGCTGCGAGAGGACAAAATTTCAGAGTAAAGAGAGTTAGATGCTTTAATGGTTGAGGTTAGCAGGTCAAAAGTAAGGCAAGCTCAGCTAGTGAGTTGTACATTGGGTTTGGTAATGTGAAAGTGATTAGTGAATTTTCTGTAAAGTATTATTTATTCTCAACATGTTCTAGGGAGTGAAAAGTAGATAGTTGAATGTAGACTACTAGGTTAGTTGTGAAGTGGAAAAGAGTGAAGACTGGCTGGGGTCTATGACTTCATGGGAAGGTTGGTGGTGATGGCGAGTATTTTGCGTAAGAGAGACACTTAACATGCTTATATGTTAAGAGAAAAGAGATAAAATCATGTTGAAGTTAGAGATGTACACAGAAAGATGAATGGCAAAATAAACTACTCATGGGGACGGGGCAAGGCAAGAGGAGAAAGGTTGGAGAAATTGGCTCCGCAAAGGAGACATTCTCTTGTCTGAACCTAGAGAAAAAAACTCTTCATTGATATTGTGATGTGTGGTCTGTGAAATAAATTTCAGCACCCTTTCTTCACTCTGTGGTTCCTGGAGACTTGAAATATGATTTCCTGCATAGTAGTCATTAAAGTAAAAATATAATAAACTAAGAACTGTGGGTATTTCCCTTCACTCCTGGAATGGGCATATTCTATACATACATAGACTTTTTTTCTCCTAGCACAGTGTTATGTCATAACCAGGCAGGCGGAGAGAGAAATGAGCTCTTGCCATTTCTTCCATACAGGAAGAAATTCCACAAAAACTTTTTTGTACATAAAGTAGAACTTAAAATTCAAGTTTTGTTGTATATGCTGAATTTAAACTTCTCATGAAAATGCTTTTAGGTGAAAATAATATTTCATAAGAGAAGTTGTGGGAGGTCAGGCAACAGCTCCCATCACTCTGCTGCCACTCCACATACTCACAGAACTGAGGTAGACTGGGTGAGTGAATGTGAGCACTCTGGAGCCAGTCAGTTCACTCCTTTGAGGCCCAGTTTCCTCACTGTAAACTCATCAGTTTGAATCACATGTTTTTTCTGAACTCATTTTCATTTTAATGTTAATTTTGATATTTAATATTTCCCTTTACTATGATCTGTCATTTTGTTTTTCTTACCACTTTTCTTTAGAATTCTTGATATAGAAGACATAGGTCACATTTTATAGGTGAAAGCACAAGAAACAATTTTATATCCAGTGACAACATGAAATTGTTGGATTATGTTTCTAATCCTGGAGATTTCTTTTGTAGAAAATCTCTTAGAAAAGGCCAGATTAGGAGCCTTTAAAATAGTAACATTTTTTTAAAGTTGTGAATTCTAAAATTTGTGAAAATACAAGTACATTTAAATATGCTTAGGAAAGGAAATGGGCATAATTACATAAATATGAAGAAAAAACAAGCATAATTACATAAAGCAAATTAAGATGTATAAATAGGTAGTCAGTAGTGATAGTAGGAGACCTAGCTTTTCAGTTGTTCCAGTTAATTATGAAATTCATTTATTTAATTTTCCTTAGGACATTGGATTGGCATATATAAACCACCTGGTGGAGAAAGGAGAGTATGATATAGCAGCACGGTAATAATGACATTTTCACAATTGTTAATATAAATAGAATTGATCAATGTTAACAATAAAAATAAGCCATTCTCTGCAGTTGACAGACTTTTTTTTTACATCTTTCTAACTGATAATATTTGGATATTAATGTTTTTAACCACAGAACAGATTGATGTATGTTATTTACCCACCTACTGTCTCATTTTCACCAGATATTTTTCTCATTACTTAATGAGAAAGGTGTCAGAAACCATGATGAGTTTGACATTTTACCCTTTTTATAAGCTAACAAATTAGACTGCCACAGTTTTGTGAGTGCTGTCAGAAGACATGAGACTCCTGGGTCAGAGACATGAGACTATCTATCTCAGCAATAGTAGTAGCCAAAGTACCAGCACTTGTTCTCAGTCCCACAAGTCCCACAGCCCCAGTTCTCTCAGTGCCCAATACAGAGAGGACCAGGTGACCCTGCACAGGCAGTGGGTTGTATTACAGGAGAGGAACCTTGAGCTTAGGGTATCTCATTCTTTTATATTGGGCAGTAAGCTTGTGTGCCCTTGGCTCCAGAAGAGGACTTTGTTTTTATTTTACTGGACAGTAAACAAACCCAGTCTTTGCTCTGGAGGGAGAAGCTATCTGGGTCCTCTAATTCCAGGGCTCTTCACTCTACAAGCACCCTTGAGAAAATAGTCCAGAAGAAAGACTTTCAGTGCCTCTGCTCACAATTCAAGCAAAGTCATCTCCCAATAAGAGGGTGGTAATTAAGTAGAAGTGATCCCTAGGCTCCTGATTTGCAGGGATCTAAGGTGGGCAGAAAATGTAAATGTTATACCGCAGTCCTGTGGGTCTATCTGTGTGAGTGCCTGATGCAGGATCAAGAGTACGTGGTAGCCCAGGAACATCAATGTCAACTTTTTGCCCCTGAGATTTAGGAAAATGTGTTTCTTTGACGTGCAAATTAAGTAAGGTACATTAATACATAAACACTTCTCTAGATTATATACTAGGATAGGATTCTAATTTTCCGAAGTCTGATTTTGTAGTCCATTATTTAAAGCCATTTAAGAAGATGTTAAAATTGATACTTGGGGTATGATGACATTTCTTCAAGGCAAGACAGGTCCCCAAACCGGCAGTGCTCATAAGGATAAGTAGGAAACTAGAAAAGGAAAATCATAGGGGAAACCTCTAATTATAGTCTTCTGAAAGGTATTCATCTTCATTTGTAAGTCTTTGTATTAATTTTCATGATTTCCATCAACATCATATGTGCAATCAAATAAGTACAATAATAGCTTTATGTTCAGTGGCACTTGAGATAGAAATTTGTCAAAACTCTGAGATGAGAGATTTATCTAAACCACTAGAGTTCATGTCTACTTATTATGCCTCTGTTTATTTTTTTACTTAAACTTTCTTTTTCCTGGGATGTTTTTGCTGCCAGCAAATGCCAGAAAATTCTTGGAAAAAATACAGCACTCTGGGAATATGAAGTTTATAAATTTAAAGAAATTGGACAGCTTAAGGTAAGCATAGCTTTATTTTTAACTCAATTTTTGTATGTGGTATATAGGCATATTTCAGAGATATTGAGTGTTGGGTTTCAGACCACTGCAGTAAAGTGAATATCTCAATAAAGTGAATCACCTGAATTTTTTTATTTCCCAGTGCATATAAAAGTTATGTTTATACTATACCATAGTCTATTAAATGTGCAATAGCATTATGTCTAAAAAACAATGTACATACCTTAATTTAAAAAATGCTTTATTGCTGAAAAATGCTAACCATCATCTGAGCCTATTGGAAAGATGGCATCAATAGACTTGCTCAGCTCAGGGTTACCACAGACCTTCAGTTTGTAAAAAATGCATATCTGTGAAGCTCAGTAAAGCAAGGCTCAATAAAACAAGGTGTGCCTGTACTGAGAAGTAAAATTAAGACAATAGTAGTCAATTTTTTATTGGGAAGCAAGTATTAACTAGGAAGAAAAATCATACTTCTAGAAATTAGTTTCAAAATATTAACATGGTTTGTATTTTATATGCATAAAATATATACATATATATTGCATAAATTATATGTTCACTTTCTTATCTCTTTCTAGTTTTCTCTGTTCAGATGAAGTTTTTGCGTTCTTTTTATGAATGTGGAAAACGGACATAGTCTCATCTTTTAGATTATAAAACATGAGGCTTTTTTCAAATTTACTTAAAATTAATGCTTTTTTCAAATAATATCTTATTTGCTGTAAAACAAATGGAAAACTTATACCATGCAGCTCTAACAAATTTTGATACCAAATTGTTTTTAATTTTCAACTCAATATCCAAATCAGTTAAGTATTCTTATTTGCTTGAAACATTTTTTTAAAACTTTCCCATATTTTGGGCCTTTTCACTGCTCTCTTAGAGTTGTGAATATGCTTTTTCGAACTCTAGTTACTCAGCTGGTCAGCCCCATGACTCCTTCTGTGCTTGCCCCATGATGTTCTCTTCCCTAGGAGACCCCCAAGGATACTTCTTGTCATGCTTATTGGGCTGCTTCTGGAGAATCATATTCAGTTCTGTGACCATGTTTACCCTGATGGCTCCAGAACCCAGACCTCTCTGTTGAATTCTATGTGTTGAAAGTGTGTGATGGCCATTCCTTCTTGTATGTGCTGCTGATAAGGGTCACTCGAATTAATGCGAACCCATTTCCTTCCCAGATTTGGTCCTTCTCCTTTCAGTCTGTTTATGACATCACATTACACCCATTCTTCCATGGTTAATAGCTCAAAGCTACTGTTTTGATGGGAATATCTGACTCACCTTATTCTATTTAATCTCCAGTTCTTGTCCATTTTGCCCTGTCAGGATCAATTAGGTCTCTCCCCTTTCCTTCTGGTACTACTGCCTTAACTCCTGATAGATCTGTAGGCAACCCCAACCTAGAGTTAGCTGTTTAAAAAAATAAATGTGCTACTCTCACTTCCCTAACATCTGTTGTGTCCTTCCTGCCATAGAATAAAACTGAATTCCTTTCATGACCCTGTCTCACCTTCCTCTCCAGTCTCATCTCCCTTCAGTGGCCCCATTCCACATCTCTGAATTACTCTGACCTCCCTGAATACAGAGTAAGCGTTTGTGGCTTCATGCCTTTGCTCATCCTGTTCCCCCTGCCAGGGTGCCCTCCCCATTCTTTCTTTGCCCGATGGACCCGGGCTTTTGTGATCCCTGCTTCAGTGCACAAGATTTGCCCTCAGTACAAAGCATGGTGGTTTTGGTACACAGTGCACTGCAGAGTTATTTTAACAGTATTTGGAAATTCGACACCGCAGCACTGAAATATCTAAAGAACATAAAATGTATTTCCCCCTAATTTCAAAAGATGATTGTGAGTTTTTAAAGGTTGATATATTCCAGGTGAAGGAAAGAAAGTTGAATAGATGACCTGTACAGCTTAAGTTCTTAAGAAGTTTACTTTTATAATCTGTGCGATCTTCTCCATCCTTTTGTTTAGATTTCCACTAATTCATCAGGAAGAACAGAGAGATGCAGGTTAACCTAGGCAATTTTTTACTCATTCAGTCATACATATGTTACACCTTGTATCTACTTTTAAAAATATGTTGTAATGTTTTGTAAGAAAATAGTTTATTTGTATCTTTTCTCTTTATAGTAATTTTCCAGAGTACTTTGTTGTCCTAAATTTTAAAATCGAAAATATACTTTTATGTTTTCGTCATAATTTGAGTATGTTTTGTTTTAATACTTTTTAAAGGATTATTTTTCCTTTTCTTTCCCAAGGCTATTAGTCCTTATTTGCCAAGAGGGGATCCAGTTCTGAAACCACTCATCTATGAAATGATCTTACACGAATTTTTGGAAAGTGATTATGAGGTATGGCATTCTGACATGGTCATAGTGACTTGTTCTCAGTGGAGAATGTTAAGAAATTTAGAAAAATAATATAATGGAGCAACTGGTTTAAAGTTACCAAATTTGCAGTTTGTGTGTGTGGTAGATGAAACTGAGGTAGGTAAACTGATGATAACTAATGTTTATGTAGGTGGTGAGGCTCTCTAATCCATGTACATTTTGAAGAATTCCTTAAAGTTGCCTCCTTAATAGAGCTAAAGAAAAAAGGACCAAGTGCTATTTAGGGATTTTATACATAGAATAGCAGCTGCTATTGATACTTATACTATCCCTAAAGAAATCAGAACTTTCTAACCTGGGAGACTTAAAACTAAGTTTGTCAAAAGAAGCTTAAAGAGAAATTGAGAGGTCAAGAATGAGGAAAGGGAGGAGAAATGATCAGTTTGCTTATTGTTTAAAAAAAAAAGTCAATATATAAATTGCTTATCTACTATACGCTCTGCACTTTTACATGCACATTGTTGAATTTATACTCCCAACAACACTATAAATAGTGCTACCCAATTTTATAGATGAGGAAACTAGAGATTGAAGAAATTAAATAACTTGCCCAAGGCCATACATTTTGTAAATAGGCATGCCTGGATGGTAATTTAAATTTGGTGTTTGCATGTATCCAAAATGGATTATAATTTTTAAAATTTGTTCATTTAATACACATTTACTCAGAAAGTACCTGTTTAGTGCCTCCTATATTCCAAGAACATGCTAGGCAGCTGGCATACAGATGTGAATGAAAGGGTGCCCGTTTTAGCAGTCACTCATAGTCTGAGTCACACCCAAGCCTGTAAACCAGCAGTTCTCAACAGAGGCTGGTTTTATCCCCCAGGGGACATTTGACAATGTTGGAGACATTTTTAATTGTCCTGACTGGGGAGTTGGTGCTACTGTCATTTAGTAGGTAGAGGCCAGCATCCCACAATATACAGGATAGGCCCCTGCAACAAAGAATGATCTGTCCTCAGATGTCAATAGTACTGAGGTAGAGTAACCCTGGTATAAACAGATACATTATTATATGATAATGCTATAATAATCTGGGTGCTCTAATAAAGCTATCACTGAAGTGTTGTTGCTAAGACTCAGCCTAGTTCCCCTTCTGACCAGAAGAAAAGATTTCTGGTGAGCAGATTATGGACAGGGCTGGTAAGCTCCTTTTCAGAACTATGACTGGTATTATGAGTATCCATAAACCAGGAGATGTAACATGTTCTCTAATGTGAGGCCAACTTTCAGTCTTTAATAAAAGTGGCACCATCTCCAGTCTTTATGAAGTTTGGAGTCCTAACCTAGTGATAAGTTTTCATTTTTGGTATCTCACAGTATGGTGCAGGTTGTCATTGCCTTCTTTTTTTATTCTGATATTAGGTTTTAAAGATAAGGAAGACTATTTACAACTTTCTTCTTCCCATCAGAATGTGAGGTGGCTTGCCAAAAGGTTAATATACAGAAATAGAGGCACTCAGACTAAAGAGGGGATGAGAAAAGGAACTTCTGTGTTTTGAATGCCTGCTGAGTACTAAACACCGTGTTAAGATACTTGTTTAACCAATAACTGATTCAGTTTAAAGAGTGGTAATGTACCAAACACTGTATTTTAACTCTGAGGTGATTTTTAGATCTTAAGATCTAAAAAGACCTTTAAGATAGTGATCTTTTACCATAATAACTAAAGTGTGTAATCAGTTACTGTCAACCAGATATTCCTGGATATATAAGATCCAAGGATCCTGATTCATGTGTGACCTATACAGTTCCTTTATTTTTGTAAGCCTGTTTTCTTATAGGAAGAAATTGGGTGCTTTAGCATGAATTAAACTTGAACAAAGTATTTCTTTGGAGTCAGTGTTTCCTCATCTGCTTATTATCATTTATTATAAAAATATGATCTTCTAACAGCATAGATTTATTCCTTTCTAGATCTGTACAGGAAATTTTATGGTAATAGTTTCTGTCATTTATGCTAGATGCTAACTGACTTGGGCTATGGTTCGTATTCATCTCCTTTTTAGTTCAATTCAGCATACCTTTATTTGGAACCTACTTAGTTCTAGAAGTGGGGCGAGTATTCAGTTGGATGCAAGATAAATTAAAAACACAGTCCTGGCCTTCACTGGGTTTACACACTGACCGAGGAGATCATGTTAATAAGCTTTAAAGAACTAGAAAATAAGTAAGACAGACAGAGCCATGTGTTCAAGTAAGACAGACAGAGCCATGTGTTCTGTAAGAGGTCTAAAGAGAGCCATCATTGCCCATAGTTATTGGAAAAGGTTTCTTCAGTGTATAATAAAGACTTATAATAAACTTCTATTTCTTTTTAGTATATTCTGAGTATACATAGTGGCTGTCATAAATATTTCATCTTTGTACATCATCCCAAAAGAGAATTATGAGTGCAAAAATGTTGGGAAAGAATATTCACTTTAGTTATATACTGCAGCTTGTTATACTCGAGTTCTTTTTAAAGTAATGTAATTTAACCATAAGAAAGCAATTTAATTATTTTTATGATTCTGTTACTGTTCTTTCACATGATTCAGCTCTTTCTTTTTCAAGAAACTTTTAATTTCTCGCTTCCTATCTGGAAGACTTTTAACTGAGACTGAAAGAGATAAGTGTGACTTAAACTTAGAGCTTATAGATGTATTTTTTTCTGAATGTTTTAGAGTGTTTTTTTGGTCCCTACTAAGAAGGTTATAAATAACTTTTTTATTGTCATAAGCTCTTATAAATAATTTGTATTTTAGCTTCCATTATTCTCAGTTTCACATTTAATTTTGAATTAAATTGTCACATAATTGATCAGATAGTAGTGTTCTGTAGCAACCCTTTTGATCACATTTTATGTAGATGAAAATTTTGTGCTGTTAAAAGGCACTCACAGTCAGATTAAAAAAACTTTACTTCTCTGGAGTATTGACCTCTCAACTTTCTTCCTAAAAAGATATGCAACAACAATATTTTCTTGCAGGTAATGCTCCTTCATGACTTATTTTATGGGGTTTCTACTGAAATATATATAGCTTCACCTTTTTATTTACAGTCTAGCAGAACTGTTTTAAATGGTTAAGCATTTTTTTCTTAATATTAACGAGAAATGTATAAGTGTGTTTAAAGTGGGATAATTTCTGTGGTATTTCATTTAATGAATATTTTAACCTTTTGCTTACTATAATAGGCAGTGAGATATTCTCTGACTTTTTTCACTGGATCGTAACTGCTCCATGATAAGTGTGTCTTCTCATTAATAATAATGGCCACAGTGTTGACTTCATCAGTATGTCTTAGCACATTTATTCAAGGGTGCATGAAGCCAATTAAGGAGAGAAAAGCCTAACAATAAATGTTTATTTCAGTTTATGTTAGAATCATCATGCTTTTATCACACAAAATGACCACACAGTTTGTCTTATTTTGTATTAGAAGTTGGTTCTTCTCAGCAGGGCTGTTGCATGAATAGAGAAAATGGAACCAAGCTTTCTTCTTTCTCTGAACAGTGTTGTTGCTGGTCTCAGGGCTACTGAAACCTTCCAGAATTGGGGTAGAAAACTTTTCAAACTTTTTAATCTTATAAATTACAGTCTTAAGACAACAGAAACTTTATTCACACTATCATTTTCATTCAGAGAATATTTTAATGTTCTGATTTAGTAATTTTATAAAACTCACCGTCTTTACCTAGTGTGTCCCCTCCCCACATCTCTCAAGCCTAAATGCAGTCATGCTCATATGTAGGAAGATTGCAGTCTGAGTGGAAATGTGTAGCCTGTTGTTTTGGTTTCTTGCAGTCCTTCCTGGGTCACTTTGAGAGAAAGTAGGTAAGACTTTAATGGAGATATTCCTGATTCTTTTGTGATTTTCTTCTTACCAAATCCTGGTACTTTACAGAAGCAAATTGTACCACACTATTTTCATTTCTAAATATCATTTAAACATATGCAAAGTAGTTCATTAAAGCATTAGTCGAGTTATTTAATATTAATGATTTTTTCAATAATACGAAGATTTTTACTTCTATTTGTTGTCTTTTGAGTACATTTAAGATTTTTTTTTTTTTCCTAAAAGTTATCAGAAATCAGCAAGTAAACTCCTCTGCTTTACTTTGAATTACAAAATCTGAGGGCTAAATTTGGAAATAAGGAAGGCAGAGACTGCCCAAGATACTGGCCAAGAATCAGCCATGGGAGAGAAATAGGATCCACTCAAGCGATATGGGGTTTTCTATCAGAACCATAAAATTTGAGATCCAGAGATAGTCACAGTAAGAGCTAGGGTATACAACTTGAGCCAAAGTCCCAAATCCCCAAACAAAACTAGGTTTAGAGGTAGGAGTGGGAGGAGAACAAAAGTGGTAAATTGTTGAAGTTGGGATGCTTGACAATGCCACTGTAGGAACAAGCCACCATGCATAGTTGTGTTGGCTGTGCTGCCCAGAGCTGAAGTGCATAAGAGGTGGTGGGGAGAGTAACTGACATGAACAGTATCCGCAAGATCTTAAAGATGTCATTCAAATGTTATAGTTGGTCCAGGTGAGGATAGAACAAATCAAACCTACACCCTGTCTGCATTGATGCTTTACTGAAGGACCCGGGGAGGCTTCCTTACTTGTGCATTTCATCAAATGAGAACAGAAGTAGACAGCACCACCTACTTCCCCAGAATGGTAAATGAAAATGAGTATGCAGTAATTCTCTGCCTCTGCCTCACCACTCCCAACCTGTAGTCTGAAAATTGATGATATGTGTATGGACCAAAGTATTCATCATAAAATTATTTCGTCTATTTACATAAATACTTTTAGGCATTGTATCAGCTATTTGGATTGTTATCTTATTTAAAAAGTGTTCTTCTTCTATCTTCTTTCTTGGTTAGGGTTTTGCCACTCTGATCCGAGAATGGCCCGGAGATCTGTACAACAATTCGGTGATAGTTCAAGCAGTTCGGGATCACCTGAAGAAAGATAGTCAGAACAGAACCTTACTTCAAACCCTGGCAGAACTGTAAGTATAATTTGTGTTCCTTTTTCCAAATGAATCTACATGGAACGTTTTCCATATTTTAGATCGGGCAAACTCTGAATGGGAAGGACACAGGGGAGGGAGCCTTTTATACTATTTTCCTATATTTACTTGGTAAAAAACCTTTCATAGACCTTTAGTGAATAACTAGGAGGCAAGAAAAATGTGTGAAACTGCAATTGTAATGTAGTCTGTTTCCCAGAGGAGAAAAGCCCTAGTCAGCAACACTTGGTAAAGAGGATAGTTCAGGCAGAGAAGGGTAATGAACCTTAGATTACTCAAGCAAATTGGTTTCCCTGTGAGGCTCTGGATTCTGTCATTTTTGGTCTACAAGTCAGTTAACCCCTCAAACCTCAGACTCCTTATCTATAAGATCACAGCTCATAGTTCCATATGGGGTGATTTTAAGGCCTTAACTGAGATATCATAATTAAGATTCATAATCCCATATTACTCTATCCATTCAACAGATATTACCGAGTGCCTATTATAGGCCAGGTACTATGCTAAAAAGTGGTAGAGGATGTAGTATAACACAGTAATTGATATCATGGACTTTGAACTTCAGTAGGCTTAAATCATATCAATTGGACACTTTCAACACAGGCTTTGTACTATATGCCTGTTATACAGAAATAGATATAATGCATTCGTGTCCTTGAAGAGCTTTGGTCTAGTGAAACAGGAAACAAACTGCAGGTAATCTCAAGAAGACTGTTTTGGCTTCAGCCCCTACTTGACACTCTCACTATTGCCCATCTTACATCTTTTGCCTAAGACCAAGAAGGACACCAAAATGGCCCAGAATTCAGGACTGTTCAAGATTTTTCACAGAGGGAGTCATGTTTGTGATATTCTAAGTTAGAACACTAGTTATTTTCTTCTAAAAACATTGTTCTAGATCATCGTCCTTGGATTCTGTAGTACTAACAAGGTACTAATAATAGTAATAACTCTTTAGTACTGATACTCGACTCACAGCACAGGTTAGGTTCGGTTGGCTTTCAGGAGTTGGCGTAGGGAATTGAGCAATGTGAAACACATTGTTTCAACAAAAAAACATTTAAATTTTATATAGCCCCCTTACGAATAAGCTTTTGGAATATCATCCATTTGTCAGCTGAATGCTACTTATAAGAATTTGACCTGATTTTTCTGTTACTAGAATAAGAATTTCTTCTTTCTGGATCATAGTGTTTTTTTGTTTTTGTTTTTGATCTGGCATATGGATTTATTTCAATAAAAATTTTTGAGAATTTCTATAGAAAAATTTTATTTGTCGAATATTGTAAATTTTCTAAAATTTTGATGAGATGGAAAGCAGTTCTGAGAAAGAAATACTTATTGGTCGGTCACTTGTTGTTAAATCCCAAGGACTAGTTTTCCAAATAAAGTTAATTTTTCTCTCTAGCCATGTTTCTCAATTTCTAATATTATAAAACATGATTTGTATATATGTATGTATGTGTTTGATTAGAAGTATTGATGAACATAAATGTAAAAATATTTCTTTTACCAGGTACACCTATGACAAAAACTATGGCAATGCTCTGGAAATATACTTAACATTAAGACATAAGGATGTTTTCCAGTTGATCCACAAGCATAATCTTTTCAGTTCTATCAAGGATAAAATCGTTTTATTAATGGATTTTGATTCTGAGGTAATGTGTTTTTCTGATTTAATACTGATAATTTATTTTTACTGTTCCAAGTTTTTAGCAACTAGACATCTATCCAAATGCTAGATTAGTTAATAAATCACATAGCTTGGCTATATTCTGATCATGTTCAGAACACTCTGACCCTCACTAGACATTAGATTATTTCAGAAGTTGACATTCAGAAATCTGTTACTTGATTTAGTTATTATGGGAAAGCAATCATAATTTGATGTGGAACTTTTGAAATTGTGTATGTGTGATATAATTTTTTAGTGAACAATTTATATAATTCATAGATACAGAGAAACTTGTCATATGCTTTGGCTCATTCAACCCTATTAATTGTATGTCCCAGAGTTAAAATTTTAAGTAAACTTCTATTTTGATCCATTTGTTGTAATTTTATTTCTTGGCATTTACAGATTTAGCATGTGGCGTTTCCGTTGATCTCAGATGATGCTCAGGTCCAGGACACATGGGATGTGTTATTTTATTGTAGGACACATTTGAATAGTGGATTGCTTGGCTAATAAGGGCACCCAACCTCCACAGCTTAAATTGGCTCCTGTAAAGTAATACAAACAGGTGTATGTTTGTGTGTGTGTGTTTAAAAAGGAAAGCTAATGGCAAGTGATTGAAATAAAGAAGTTCAAAAACATAGTAGTTCTTATTCAGAAAATTTTTAGATAAAGAGGAGAACCTTAAGGCTCCAGAAGGGTTACTTGAATTTTTAAATTTTATTTACTGTATTTAGTGGTATTATGTGAGATATACACACACACACACACACACACTCACACACACACATATGTATGTATATATGTATGTGTGTGTATATTTCATATGTACATGTATATCATATGTATACACATATTATTAGTCTCGACATACTCTTATTTTAAATAGGACCTAAATGTACCTTTTTTTCTGAAAGATGCTTTTAGCCCTTTTTTCATTCTGAGTGGGTCAAGTCCTTAGGGACTACGGATCTAAAAAGAATTAGTACAGTTTGGGGGAAGTTCAAGTACAGAGGTTCTGCTTCTCTGGCAGATGATTGAGAGGATGAGATGCTTATATAGAAATTAATTATATTTGTCAATATCCAGTCTCCCCTTATGTCTCTTTCCCCACTACCCATGTACCTCAAGAGCCTGGTTTTGCATATGTAGCTGTGGGAAAAAAAAATGAATGAGCTGAGACTAATTGCTATTCAGGTGTAGAAACCAAAGTTAAGGAATCAGAGTTCTCTAATTCGAAGATACCTAAAGAATAATCTCTTCCAACATCCTCATATTTCAGAGAAAAAAAAATTTCCAATTCAGACATCTACGTAGTAGCAGAGTCAAGAACAGGACCAGGTATTCTGAATGAGTCTCAGGCTAGTAGGCTATCTTCCCATGTTAAATTCTAAACATCCATAAGCTTTATATTATCCTGAAACTTCAGGTATCTTATTTCTCTCTGGCTCTTATCCTCTCCACAAAAGACCAGCTCCTTACATCTGTGAAATCTATAGAGGGACTCAGTCAGTAATCAGGGGGCCTAGTATCATTTTTTTGGTACTAGGTACAGTGCATTCTCCATAACTACTGAGAGTCACATAAGAACTTGTGAAGGTATCTGAGACATCAAGGAGGCTGGAATGTGTATAGTCAAGATATTTTAAATTTAGTGAGTTATCACAAGATACCATTATAGTAGTGTGCAAAACACATAGACTTCAGATTGAGGCCCATTTTAAAATGTATTCTTTTATCATTTTACCACTCACTGGCATTGTAAAGCTAAGGACCTCCTTCTGTATGGGAAATAAGCCCTCTGCCTTTAACTGTGACAGCATATACAATACATTGTGTTTGTTGTTCTCTTATATGGCAAATTTCAATGACTGTAGCTTTTTTTTTTTTAATTTCAGAAAGCTGTTGACATGCTTTTGGACAATGAAGATAAAATTTCAGTGAGTGTCTTTTATTTTTATATCTGTTACCAGATGAGTGTCTGGGACCACTATAGCCATAAAGAGGAGAGATGTTTATCGGATAATTTTGCAGCTATGTTTGTGTCCTCATGACCCTGTGTTTAACATTATTTTTTCTCTAGATTAAAAAGGTAGTGGAAGAATTAGAAGACAGACCAGAGTTGCAACATGTGGTGAGCATGACTGTCATCTTCTTTTGCCCTTTTTGGATTGTGTATTGGGGTGAAACACCTTTTGGTATTGCCGTGAGAATACCGGAGTGAACTCTTCAGGTTAATACTCAGATGGGAGATGTGACCACAAACAATATTCTGTAATTATTAAAATGATATATATGCTCTGAATCCAGGTTAGGGATTAATTATAGATCAGTCACTTTAATTTGACTCACAATTGCTTTATGATTTAGAAATTATCATATTAATTTCTGTGTTATCAAACTGTTCCTGAGAGTAAGCACCTTCCTTCTTTAGTTACCATTTAATATAATTATGGCATAAATTACAACACCACAGAATGATCAAGGAACAGAGTCTCATTTATTTGTCCCTCACCTCTTCTGTGGTCTCAGTGGTGATACTGTTGAGGCACATTATTCTAGATTTCCTTTGGGGGAATATTTTGATTCTCTGCACTGCTGTCACTGCGGGAGTAAAGCAAGAGTAGATGTTCTCTATGTTCTTTAACAATTATACAAGAAAAGGCTTCAACGAAAATAGGGATTATGCCTGTAGGACTATGAGTATCAAATGCCAGCACTCTTGTATCTTTGCCTACCTTTTTGTACCCCAACAGGAGGCTCTGGAAATGGAATATTTTATTCAAAAGTTAGTTTCGTGCAAATGCTATTGCTATATGTTCATGATTGGAAATCTCAAGATTACCTGCTTACCCAAATGAGGTGCCACTGTGCTGGTCACCTTGGGATTTGTTTATAAAGCAATGATTTCTGGCCCCCCATGCCATGAAACAGTAATAAAGGCGGTAGATATCCGTGTAACAGTGTAATTAGTGCAGTGGTGAAATGGTGGCAGAGCTCACACTAAAAAAATGGTGCATCTTCCTGTCAAGTAATGTAATGTCTCTACAAATTTGCCTCAGCAGATGTAACAGAGCCCTTCCTATCCTGTTTGTGCCTCTAGGAAATAGCACCATGTGTCCAGCTCACACTGACCCTGGGGACAGTGGACTGGCGGGGGCCTTCATCAGACCGTGTGGACTTCTGTCTGATGGCTCTCCCTGTCTCTTCTTGCCTTAGGGAGATGTGAACAGTTAACCTGAAGAGTGATTGCTCAGTCTGCATGTGTCTCGGTTAGGTTTCTTTAGTGACCATATGCAGCAGCAAATGTCACACTTCACCCAACTCATTGACAATCACAGCTTCCGGGACAGGCAGATGCTCTTTGTTTTTTTTTTTTTTAACCAATCCACGCAGGGTGTGAATACACTTTATGTGAATGGCATGATTAGGTCTTTCTGCCTCTGGTGGGTTATGGGATGTTTGTTTACATTTAACATTAACTGAACATTGAGCATCGATTTCCAGCTTCCATGTAATACATTGATTGATTGACTGAATCTTGCCTCTGAGTAGAAAGTGAATTTCTCACTTCCTTTGAGGTCCCTTAACGTATTCAGACAGCTAAAGAAAGGAATCAGTTTTGAAAATTGGTTTAGAACACCTGTACCCTTCTTGTTTTTTACTGTTTATTTTTGTTTTTTTGTGTGTGTGTCACCAGTATAGGCAGCATTTCATGGCAAACACAGATTCTCAATGATCCTAACAGAGAGGAGATACAGAACATGTGAGAATTAATTTAGTACTTGCTGCTTGAGTTTTTAAGAACATATTCTTATCCCATGATTCTACCCCTTTTATATAAAGACAAGAATTTTTATGATCTAGGAAGACCACTAATCAAGCTTTTTATTTCTGAGGCAAAGCATATGATAGTGACAATATTAACTACAGTTGACCTTTGAACAATGAGTGGGTTAACTCTCAGAGTTGAATATCTGTGTAGAACTTTTTACTCCCCCAAAACTTAACTAATTATTCCTTCGTACCTTGGGGGCATGGTTCCAGGACCCCCTGCGAATACCACAATCTCCAGATGCTCAAGCCCCTTTTATAAAATGGCACAGAACAATGCCTACGGTAGACCGTCTGTGTCTGAATCACCAACTGAGATCAGAAATACTGATTTTGATCTGCAGTTGGAGTTGAATCCACAAGTTTAAAACCTGGGAATAAAAAGGGCTGAGTGTAGTTTTTTTTTCTTTTTTTTTTAATTTGCATATAAGTGGACCCACATAGTTGAAACCTTTTTGTTCAAGGGTCAGTGGTACTGTGATTAGCATTTCTAAAGTGCTTAGCATATGCCAGACGTGGTTGAGTGATTCGGAAATAGTAAGTCATTCAACCCTCACAACCCAGTGAGATTTTTGCAGATAAATAAACTTAGTCACAGAGAAGTTAGTGACTTGCCTAAGGTCACCTGGTTGGTAAGTGGTAGAGCCAGGTCACTCAGGGCCATTCTAGAGAGTGTCAGAATCTCCTTGCTCTCACAAAGAGATTTTTCTTTCACATACAGATTTTTTCCTGGAAACTGCTTTTCTCCCAGCCTCTCTGTGGAAGCTGTTTAGAACTGAAAATAGCAATGATAAACAGATATTACTTTTCTTATTTTAATATTAGTGGTTTATTCCTTTGTTATTTTTAGTATCTGCATAAGCTTTTCAAGAGAGATCATCATAAGGGGCAGCGGTACCATGAAAAACAGATCAGCCTGTATGCTGAATATGATCGACCAAACTTACTTCCGTTTCTCCGAGATAGTACCCACTGCCCACTTGAAAAAGTAAGTCACAGCCTTCCTTGCTCGCAAACTTCAGGCGAAGAAGTTGTCGTTGTGGGTAAGCTGTTAGTTATTCTGGTCTTCCTGTCTCTGCTCATCAATCCCTGTTCAAGCAGTAGGTTTTGCTGGAACATTCTGATGAGAAATGGAGGTGCTGTTGGAATAGATTTTGGTAAGGAGCTCAAGCATTTCTGTGCTAGGTTTAATTGGAACAAAGGTTTAATCCAGCGTCTAGGATTTAATAAACCATCAAGCAGAAATGATGTCAGGATTCTGATCAGTTTATTGGGATCAGTGTGAGGCTGCAGAGTCAGCCTGGGAGGTAGACTCTGTCCCCAGGCAGAGGCAACTGCTCCAGTCAGGACTCAAGGTTGATAACTTAGTCCCAGCACCCTGTCTGCTTTAAATAGCCACCTTATGTGTTTCTGTATTTTTCACATTGCATTTCATTTCTCTATCATACTTCATTCCATTATAATTATAATAAATGTATATACTAGTCTCTCTTTCCCACTGTCTTGTAACTTCAAGGACAAGGATTTTCTCACTCATTTTGGTGAACCCAGTAGCCAGCACACATGAGACACTTATTAAATGTTTGTTGTATCATGAGTGAATAAATGAATAAATGAATACATATGATGTTCTTATTAGGGCTGAATATGAACTAGTAAGTTTTATGAACTTGCTCTGTCAAAATAAACTGTAATACTTACTATTAAGGTACTAGAAACTGGGTAATCTAAGGCCTTCAGTGTTGTTTCCCATGGTTCTTGATAACATCTGGAATGCTATCTAAGGTCTGACTAAATTCAGATGGGCATATCACGAGTGCTGTTTAATCAACTGTGTGCATCAACCAGACAGAAAAAGTATCAGACCTATAAGAGCTATGTATTAAGAAGTTGATTGATAACATGCAACTTATGTGTACTCCCAACCTTTATAGTTGCTTTTTCAGCCCTTGATAATTAACTGTATATGCATTGGATTTACTATGAACTGGTTTCAGCTCAATGGATTTTCAAAATCTGTAGTTAGTGAAAAAATATCTTATCTGAATATTAATTTATGAAAAATTTTAACATTTATATTTGGGACCTAAGACATTTCTCAAGAATACATTTGGAAATACATCATCGTGCTCTAAAGATAAAAGCAAATATTCCCCTCTCTTCTCACTACAGAATCTATAATCTAGAAAAAGAATGAGAATCTTACTGTTTGAAAAGTGCCCTTTCATTTGTATCTCACTTTTTGAGGTAATGTCATTGATTTCCAGGAGGATGTGGCTGTCTTGGGTTGACACCTCAGACAGAGCCCCACACACACAGGTGATCATTCTTCTCATTCACTTAACACAGATGCAGAGGTACCACCCACATTCCAGTATTCATATTTCTCACACACTTTCAACCCATCTGGTTTACATTTTTCCGGTCTAGTAGTGTTCAGCGGAAGGCACACTGCTCTACCTAAAGGGGAGCATCAGAAAATTTCAGACCTACACATGGTACTTCTAATATATAGAATTCACTTAGAGCATTGTATAGACCTTTTAAAATTTTTCTCTGTGATCCACTGAGAACCAATTGCTTTTAAAAGAAGTCCATACAAACATACTGAAACCAATTATGTCTTAAATATTTGTTACATTATCTCATGTGTTCAACCGAAAGAGAATTCTGAATAAAATAGATTAGAAATGGTAATGGGGAAAATATGGCATTTTAGTAAAATAATCAAGTCAATAATTCACATTTTTAAAACTCCCTAAATGGACTTTTCTTGTTATAGGTCATTGAGAATTCTTCATAAGACATTCTCTTTTCATTGGGATCCATTGGGGGAAATTTGTATATTTGCAAGGAACATCCTTGCCCAGGTACCTAAAGCTATCTTATAGTAGATATTCTTTATTAACTCATGTAGGATTTTATTCTTTTTCCCTAGAAATAAGAACTCTGTACAGATTTAATCACCTTAGAAACTTAATTCCTTTTATGTTTACTTGTAACATGAAAAAACTACCAATTCATAAAAAGCAAGGTAGATTTCCCCCATTAAAAAGCCTCCCAAGCACCCTGACAGTGAAGTGAAGGTCATGGAGTATAGGTTCGCCTATTTGGTCTAAAGAGAGATTCAGAAAATTTGGTCTCCTTTTCTACCGAATATAAAATTAAGAACTCAAAAATTTTAATATCACTCCCCCCACCTCCCCCGCCACACACACATACCCAAGAAGTCTCTACTTCAAAAGACTATAGATTGTGTAGTCCCATAGGTGCTTAGGTGGTATTTCGGTGTTGGTTTTTTATTTAAAATAAGAAGTGTTTAAGGTTTCAAGGCATTATTCAGAGGACGTTGACACCCACTATTGTTAATAATTCACTTATGGCAGAATAGCAGCTCATTTCTGGTTGTCTGCCTTTGCTTGGATTGGGTAATTTTTTAGAGGAGGGGTGATTTCAAATGACTGGTTGAAATCTTCAAGAATCCAGGTCAAACTTGTTTTGAATTGATTGAGATTCCACAATCAATAGTATTTGGCTAAAAACTTTGTAGAGACCGTGACATCACATCAAAAGCCCTTTAGGATTGTCAAACACCATTGTTCAGGATTTAAAATCACCACAACTCTTAAATTCCAAAATTAATCATAAACTTTTATGAAATTATTCTAAAGGAAATACAGAGTTGGTAAGAATTTATAACATCTACAACAGTTTAAAAAGTTAATAAAAATTGTTTCTATTTTGCTTTATAGTATGTGCTGTGCTTTCATGTAGCTTGTTTTTATTTAATCTTCACAAAAGTGCAGGTAGGTGGATAAAGTCATTTTATACATGACAAGCTGAGTCTTCAGGGGTTGAAAGAAACAGAACAAAGTCTAAAGCTAAGAAGTCAGAGGGCCAAGACTTGGAACCTAGATCTCTTAACTTCAGGACCCATATTCTTTCCACTATGGTGAGGAATTATTTTTCAGATTCAAAAGTTAATTAAGATAATAATAATAACAATACTAAGGATACTCCTTAGTATTGCAAGAGGCATGAAAGACATCAGTTTTTAAACTGTTAACTGTCCTTTAATTTCCAGGTATAGTCATCAGGCACTAGTTTTCATTTGCAAATCTTATTCGCTTATGCTTTGAACTGTTAAAAGCAGAGTATCAGCTTTATAGCTTGGGCAAATTTATATCTGATTTTATGATCTCACCTCTATCGGCATGCACAAGGTGGCAGTATTTAAGATTTTGGAGGAATAAAGCTGGGAAATGCAAAGTTTGTAGATTTTCATTAAATAAACTTAAAGAGAAAATTGGATAAAAGATGACAGGCTCAAAGCTAAATAGAAGTTATTATTTAATTTGTGGTTGATAAGATTCCTATTAGTTACCCCTAAATTTCTGACTGTGTTTCTTACCATAATACTAAATCAGAAAAAGAAAAATTAAAATATTGTTTTTACATCATTTTTCACTCAGTTTCTATCATTTTCATTTTTAATTTTACTACTATTCTCCCTTTTTATGCGCACTTGTGTGCATGTGTGCATGTATTTGTGTCTATTAGCTTTAAAAATTTTAGTTTCCCTATTCTTTCCTCTAGAGGGAGCACTATGGTCCAGGAACATTGAAGAATCTAAAATAAGGAAACATTCTTTTATGCTTCACTTGTCAATAATAGAAAAATTGTGTGTACCAGAAATATTTTTTTATGCTTAGAATTTCTAGAAATTTCTTGAGTCACTACTTTCCCATATGAGAAAGCATAATTTAAGATACTCTTAGAAGCTAGTCATAAAACATTTACAAATATGCAAAATTCAAATTTCAGATACTTTGACCTTGGTGTTACACATGTACTTGCATTCCATACCATTCTTAACTTCAAATTTGCCTTAGGTATTTCTTCACACATGAATTGTCATTTTGATAGTATCCTAAAAGAGCTTCTAGTAGCACTATCCCGTAGAATGTTCTGCAGTGATGGAAATGAGCTATAATCTATTCTAACAAGGTAGCCACTAGCTATACTGTAGAAATTGAGTATTTGAAATGTGGCTAGTGAGGAACTGAATTTTTAATTTAAATTTAAATAGCCACATATAGCAAGTGGCTACAGTCTTGGACAGTTCAGGCGAGCCTTCAGACTGCAGACTGTTTGTGGTTTGAGACAAGCATGTTCTCAAGCATTTGCATATATTCAAGAAAGGAAATGGTTCTCTTTGAAATTTCTGAGTGGTACTTTAAAGGTCAATAAATTTTCAAATACAAAATTGATTTATAATAAACTATTTTGAGCTATATTCATCTTTATTCATACTGTCTTTCTCTAAACAGTCCAGCTATCCAATTGTGTTCACATTATCTGTTTGTAAATGGCACAGTTCCACGAAACCATATACTGTCCATTTGTATATCCAGAAGGTAGCACAAATCTGGGCACTCAGTTGGTTCTCAGTTTTTTGTTGGAATAGTTCACGTCCTCTGACTTCAGATTTTTTGCTCTTTTCCTTTACTACTTAACTTCCTACATGTGTATCTGAATGTGCTATAGTATCATTCCAGAAGAGTTAAGAGTTAGTAAGAACGATCCATTGTTTAAGGTGATGATTTATGGGTGTGACAGTATAGAGGGAAGTAAACCATGTTCTAAGTGTTAGTTAGGAAGGTTCAGCTATTAGTGATTTTTAAAATCCCAAAATAATAGTGGTTTAAACAGAGTAGCAGTTCTTTCACATGGAAGTCCTGGTGGAGTGGCCCTGCTGGTGGTGGCATACCACAGGGTCCAAGACCCAGGTGCTTTTCTCTTGTTCTCCAACCTTGTATGACCTTGACCTCATGATATGAGATAGTATCATTCATCTTTGTTGGAGCATATTGGATTAAAGGACTAAAAATAAGAAAGCAAGGGGTTCACCCACACTGCTTCTTATAGAATGTTCTCAGAAGCTGCCATGTTTCTTTCATCTCTATGGGGGACATTAGTCACATAACTCTCCTACCACTGTGGAGGCTTGAAGATTTAGTTTTGTTTGTTTTTTTACACACCCACCTGAAATCTTATTACTCTAGAAGAAATGAGTAAACACAATTTTTAAAGGAATCTTGCGAGTAATGAAATTAATAGTGTTTCCTTCTTATTATGACCTTCGGGTTTTCTCATTTTCTCATTTAAATGATTTATGTACTTTAAAACACTATCCTAATTTCACTGCAATTCTAAAGTAAGGTGTTATTTGTGTTTTCCTTTTTTATGTTTGGTTTGGTTTTTTTCCCCCTTACATTGATTATGATCAGCACTTTTCCCTCCTTTTAGTTGTTTATCTCCAACCAGAGACACAGATTTAAATATATACTTGACATAAAATTTTAAGTCAAAAGTCAAAATGTCAAAACTAGCTCCTGCTGTTATTTCCCAAGATAGATCATTGAACCAAAAGAGTTAATGAACTTGAGCTGTTCTTTTTATCTCCTTGGTTCTTGTTTATAAACCAACCTTGGCTGGTTGTTTTAAATGACTACTTTAACTATGCAACCCAGTAAACTTCCTCCTGAAACCTTTTTTGCCTGATCATTTATTGAAAAAATATTTATTGCATACCTACCATGAGCCAGGCATTGTGCAAAACACAGGGCTCGAGGTGCACATGGTCCCAGCCCACAGAAACAAGATAAACAATTAGGGGAGTAATCATACCTGCGATCAATTCTGAAGATGTGGGCAGGGTGCAATGAGAGAAAGTGCCTGAGATCTGTCCTGGTGTGGGTCCAAGGAGGATTTGTCTTAAAGACTTGCCAAGAAAGGAGAGTGAGGAGGGAGAGCAGCACTCCAGGCCAAAGGGTCACAGTAGAGGGATGAGCAGGGTGTGCAGTGTTGCTGCAGAGAAACACAGGGCCAGATAGTGAATGCCCTGAGGCCACAGTAAAGATTCTATGCTTTAAGTTAAAGCAAAGCAACACAATAAGAAGGTTGAGTAGCGGGGATATGAGTTAGGTTCCTGGTGAACTCTGACTCATCACACTGCACACAGTTCAGATGCCACCTCCTCTGCAAAGATGTTTATAAGAGGGCCATGCTGGAGCTTCTGTCCTGTATCTGAACACATGGCCCTCTTCATACTCCCCCAGGTCATGGGATTCTGTGTTGGCACATCTCTGTCACTCTCTCTGGACCCTGTGCTTCCTTGTCAGACTCATGCTGCTTCCACTACAACTGAGCTATCTTCATCTCCTCATTTTCCTCCTCTTTCATGTCAGCAGCAGCATTTACATCACCATCATTTTTGCATCTCCATCCAAACTGACCCTCTATGCCCAGCACACAGTGTATAGTAAATGTGTGCCAGTTCATTTAGATTATTGAATTGTTTATAATCCCATAGTGTCTTTTTTTTTACATTCAAAGCAATGTCATTTGTGTGTGGTTCCTCATTTATTTTCCTTGATCTTCTTTTTGATCCTTCTTGTCAGATGTGTTTTTTCTTGACAGATCCTTGAGCAGAATTCTCTTTTAAACCTTGTGAGTTGTCAATAGAAGTATCCCCAGTATCTATTTATTTATGCAACAGATGTTTACTGGGCTGTGATACACTCGGTACTGGGAACATGCAGCAATGAATAGCAGTCTTTTCAGGGAGCTTCATTCTGGTGGAGGGAAACAGAACTTAAACCAAGGACTAAGGATCAGTTGTGGAGCAGTACTATAAAAAAACAGAGTAGTGTAAAGAGAGAAAGCTTCATGGGAAGAGCCTTTCTTTCAGCATTTTGCTTTCTGCCTTTGCTCATGAAATGTTCTGAGTTGTCTCAAATATGTTAAATTGTGTAGGGACCAGCACCTCTCTGCGAGCTGAATGGGTACAGCCAGCAGCAGAACCTAAAGAGATTTGTGTTTTTGTTTGTTTGCTTTGTTTTGTTTTTAAAGAGAAGCAGTGTTTAAATGACTGTTAATATTTGTCCTTGTGTGGTAACCCATAGTAACATTTTTGTCCTGCTTTATTTGAAGGCTCTGGAGATCTGTCAACAGAGAAACTTTGTAGAAGAGACAGTTTATCTTCTGAGTAAGTATCTTTTACTAATTTTGGTCCCCATAAACTAAGAAATGGGGTGACAACGTGATATAAATTGTTCAAGAATAGATATAGCTATTAGACCAAAGTAACAAATGTTAAAGCCTATTTTGTATAAGAATTTAATACATAGAAAAAGAGATTTCACAATGCAATAGAGAAAGAAGAGTTATTTAATAAGTGTTGTTGGAATAACATTTTAATATTGTGTAATAAACAAAACTCTATCAGTTCACACCTCATAACATAATTGTAAGTGGCATGACAGGTTTCTTCATTTTTTAAAAAAGTTATCAGCTTATATTACCATCATCTTGGTAGAAAATAAGTAATGTTCATACTGAAAAATTACACCTTAAGTAACTAGAAGAAATTAAATTGAATATCGAAGTTCTGGAGAGAGAGGAACACTTTTTAGTACAATCTAGCTATCAGCTGTCCTTGGTCCTCTGACTGCTGCCTCCACATATGTCACAGTTTTTATATCATGGATACCATGGTGCAGAACTTACTTTTCACATTCCTCCAAAATAAACCACTTACATAAAGCAATGTAGATTCTTGAAGATTTCCTAAGGAAGCTCTGGTAGCATAAACATAGAGTTTATATTAGGTGTTTCTTTAGTGTTTCCTCCCAAGAAATACTCTAGTAGATTTTTGTTATATTGTCTTGGAAACAGTAGAGAAGTTATAAAGGGAGACATAATCTCCCTTTAAGTCATACTTAAAAATTCTAACAGTAAAAAAAATTAATCATTTTTAAAGACATAAACTGTGGGAATAATATTTGCAGGAAAAACAAAATGCAATAGAAGATATAACAAATGGGATTTTGTTTATTTTCAAGCCAGTCGTTATCACTTGATAGTAGCTGTCCAGAGTGAGAAGGTTTCAAGGTCCATTACTAGTTCCTGCCGTAGGCCAGGGGCCAGGAGTAAGAGTGATGACCTACAGCCAGCCAGTTGCTGTCCTTCTTCTGAGTAAAGCTTTTCTACATGTACTATATTAAAAACTCATGGAAATTGTTAATAAAACCACTAAATTGCCAATAGATCAATGAGCAAAGTATGTAAAGATAATTAACCAAATAGAAGCATAGTTGGTAAATACTTTCATTTCATAAGGGTTATTGAAAGGCTTTCCCCTCAACTTGAAGGAGAAGGAAATGAGGTTGAGTTTGCAGTTGGCACGAAGTGTATCAGAAGAGCAAATGAGAAGCTACTTAAAGAAGCAGAATGACTCAAAGGCTTTTAAAAGTCTTATCTGTATCCGGGTGTGAAGGCATCCAAAGGAAATCATAGGACTGTCAGAATCTGACAGACCTGGGTTTGGATTCTAGGTTTGCCATATAGATCTTGATCTTGGCAAGTTACTGACTCTTCTATAAAATCAAAACATTAGTAGAACATACCTCATAAGATTCTAGTTTTGATTAAGTGATATAATTCACAGGAAGCACTCAAATGAGTACTCAGCACACAGTAAACATCCAGTAAATAGGAGATATTTATTTTACTGTGTTATAGAAGTATATGCTAATGTCATGTTAGAAACTATGTTTTTGTCTTAGCTTTCAAACTGTGTAAACAAATTGAGATATGCTATTTCTTTTTAAAAAGTTAATAAAAATACCCTAAATGTTTTATTAAAGTGTCATAAATGAAGTTTTCCCACATCTTTGCTAGGCCGAATGGGTAATAGCCGAAGTGCCCTGAAGATGATCATGGAGGAATTAAATGATGTTGATAAAGCAATTGAATTTGCCAAGGAGCAAGATGATGGAGAGCTCTGGGAAGATCTGATTTTATATTCTATCGACAAACCACGTAAGCAGAAAAACCATCTGAGATCATAACTTTTCTTTCTCAATACAGCCAGTTTTGTCTAGAGAAAGAATTATCTCAAGACACATCAGAGTTAAAAATATGGCAAAGTATATATAATAAAAATAGACCAGGTACATTGTAACAATTTCCAACGCGTTTGTGCAGAGAAACCCGGAGCCCCTTCACTTTGTGTTACCTTAATGTGATGAAGAACAAGTGGTTAACCTGATAATGTGAACTGTGTCCCCTTGAGGCATAGTTTTACCTACTGCACTCAAATTGAATAAATGTGATATGGCATAGTTTTGGTTTTCTTAGATATATGTGGGGACATTTATTTTGAAAATGTATAGCCCATAGCAGTCTCTCTTTATGGAAACATTACTGTCAGCAGACGTTGACCATATTTGGATGTTCACTGTAATAGCAAACACTTTCACAACTCGGCATCAGGAGCTTATATTTGTTGGCCTTCTGCTTCACCAGTTGTATTGGTCTCCCATTTTGAAAAGAAACTAAAGCAGTCACCTAACAATAACCCAAGTCTTCTCTTAAAGATATGCAAATGATCAGAAGCTAGCAGTAGTGATTTAAAATCTCCCCACTCCCTTCCCTTTTTTTAAATTTTTTGGTGGGAAGACTTATCTATTTCAAGATTTTCAAGTTTTAGAAACTGCTATTATGATTGTCTTCTTAATAATAAGAGATGCAAGAGGATAATATCATTTAAGTCAATTTCAGATTAAGGTAGTTAGTTACATGCACATATTCTTTGAGAGTTTAGTCTAGTGTGATAAAGTAGTTGTTTAGGGACCTTAAGGAAGGTAAAGTGGGTGTAATGGAACACACCGTGAGTCGAATCTGGCCTAGGTTTGAATTTGGGCTTCTAACTTGCTAGCCGTGTGACCTTGGATGAATTAGTTAACCAACCCATTTCCTTTTCTGTAAAATGGGGATAAATAGCATTCCTACCTTGCAGAATATTGGTGAAAAGTGTTGTACATCGTTCTGAATAGCCTGATGAAATCTCACACCATCCTATTCCATCCTATGCAGGACACAAATCGTCCCTTTGTCTAGCATATCCACATTGTAAACATTACCCACCCATCAGCCATCTCAGTTATCAAATCAATTGTTGTGGTATCACAGTGCTTGTGTTCAAGTAACCTTTATTTTACTTAATAATGGCCTAAAGCACAAGAATAGCGGTGCAGGCAATTCAGATATACCAAAGAGAAGTTGTAAGTGCTTCCTTTAAGTGAGATACAGTACAATAAAATATTTTGATAAAGACCACATTTATATAACTTATTACAATATATTGTTATGATTGTTCTGTTTTATTATTATTTGTCATTGTTAATTTCTTACTGTGCTTAATGTTTACAAATTAAACTTTATCATAGGTATGTATGTATAGGGAAAAACATCATGTGTGCATGTATTTGTGTGCGTGTGTGTGTATGGTTCCATACTACCTGTATTCTCAGGCACTGGGGATCTTGGACTATAACTCCTGAAGATAAAGGGGCAGGGGGGTTACTGTATTCTGAAGTAATCATTTGTTCTCCAGCTATTTTAAACTCTTCTCATTTAGCTTCTTCTTTATGTCATGAGAAAAGTAAGAGAATATTAGTTCTTAAGAGTTTAGAAATTCAAATGACTTTAACATTTACTTTGAAGGAAATAATTTTTTCTTTGAGTTACTTTTGGCCTAAAATTGCACTTCGTTCATTGCTTATATGTTATGTGGTACTTTGTAGCGTTTATTACTGGCCTGTTGAACAACATTGGCACACACGTTGACCCAATTCTATTGATTCACCGTATTAAGGAAGGAATGGAGATTCCCAATTTGAGAGATTCCTTGGTTAAAATTCTGCAGGACTACAATTTGCAAGTAAGTATCCTTTCTTGGATAAATGAGCATGATGAGTGAGTTGACTAACTACTAGCTAAACATTTCTAGAGTTTATTTTGGACATCTATGTCAAATAATTCAGTTTGGTAGTTACATTTTACAATTGACCTTTGAACAGTGCAAGGGTTAGAGCACCAAACCCTGCACAGTTGGAAATCCATGTATAACTTTTGATTCCCCAAAAACATAACTACAGTTCTCTCTTAGTATCCATGAAAGATAGGTTCCAGGCTCTCTCACAGATACCAAAATCCATGGATGCTGAAGTCCTTTATATAAAGTGGCATAGAATGTTGAATACATTCGGCCCTCTGTATCTGTGAATTCACAACCAAAGATTGAAAATAATACTGTTTTCAGTCCAAGGTTGGCTGAATCTGAGGATGCAAAACCCTGGGAATAAGGAGGGCCTACTGTATATATATTGAAAAAAATTCGCATATAGTGGAACTGTGCATTTCAAACCTATGTTGTTCAAGGGTCAACTGTATTTAAGCCCAGATATATGGAAACTGTTCAAACAGAAACTAGAAATACCACTCATTAAGGAAGCCATTCAATTTTTTAGCCATTTCCAAAATTTCTTGATGAGCATGCATTTATGTGGTAAATGTAGTGTGGCATTGGAGAAGGTGTAGAAGTAGGCACATTGCCAATTAGATCAGCCCATTTAAGCCATTTTACATAGAATGAGTAGTGTATTCTTTTGGAGAAATAAAAAACGTTTTTCAAATAGTTTGATAATTTCTTTGAAGCCACTCAGTAACCCATTACCTGAAACCTGTTAAAATACAGCATTTATTTAATCTTTTGTCTGTTTTCTAGACTAATACAACTTTTATCTTTAATAATTCAGAATTTGTGATAAAAGCAATAGAACCCATTTTCACATAATATGCTAATTACAAAGCATCCTAATCTTTTCTTTACAAGGACTCTAACAATTAGTATTTTTCTGGATGCTTGTAGCTTCCATAGAACTCAAAACTAAAGTACATTTATTTAACAAATGAGATTTTGTTATAATGTGGATGAAATTTCTTTCCTGGAAACATGAAGATTTTTCAGATAGAGCCAAAAAATAAGGTTGTGGGGCGAGAAGTGGTTCCCAGAGTGAATAAAAAGAGAAGCATCGTGATGAGGATCTGTAGTCACTGTGAAGGATACAGAGTGGGGGCTGCCTGCCGAGCTCAGGGTGGAGGCCTCAGATCAGAAGCATGGTGAAAAGGAGATGAAATTGAGAAAGATGGAAGCAAGAAGAGATGTGAGAGATAACCAAGGAGTGGTAGTGCTGGAGGGACAAGAGCTTGTGGCCAAGGACTGGGATACTGTTACATTCAAATTTCTGAAAGGAGTCATTGTGGACATGTTCCAAAGGTGGAGTGAGGGTAACGGTCATTGGAGTGGAATTAGTGTAGAAACTGAAGGCACAATGAGTCATCCAAAGGAGCACTAAGGAAGTGGTGGGGGGAAGTAGGCTTCACGTTCTCAGTGACCTGGGAGCTTAGCCTTGCAACCCACAGGTGACTCTGGTATTACTGGGTGACACAACTTCAAAGGAGAAGAGGTTTCCTGGAGGTGGGATGTGAGAAAACAAGGAGCCTTCACTCAGGAGAGCTTGTGGGAAATCTGCCATGGGAGAGAAATGGGTATTTGGTTAAAGCAAAGAGATAGAGGGCCTGTTCTGCAAAAAGTTTCAAGATATATAGGTATTTATTTACAGTGGAATTTGGAAGCTTGCAGTTGACCCAGGGTAAGGTGATGAGAGAGAAATGAGAAAGGCAAAGAAGGAAAGAGTAACATAGGAATGGGTGACTAGACAAGGGGAGGTGATATGAAGAGCTTGCATCTGTGCAGTTCCCAAGGGATTCAGAAAAGCAATCCAGGCAGGGAATACTTCACTAATTCTGAGGCTTGGAATTGAACTTTAGGGAAAGTAGTCTCATTGTCAAACCTTATAAAGCTCTGAATGTGAGTGAGCTTGATAATGGCTTGTACTTTCCTGGCTCTTACCACCCTTGGGTATGCCAGGATGTGCTCCAAGTTTCAAATTCAAGTTTTTTGAGAAGTCATTTAGTTGTCTCTGAACAGTTCTACCCCAAGGAAAGTGATGAAATAATTATCCCTTCTGTCCTCTAGCTGTAGTGCATGAAGCCCAGCCTCTAAATTTAAAAAATGTGCCTTGCTTTTTTCTTAGCCTGTACAGTCCTAATAGATCCCTTTTACTAGTTTCTTAATTCAGAGAACCATGCTCATAGACACTACTGCTCATCCTTTTTTATGAATAAATTTGCATAGTTCTGAGCCAGGAATAAAAACAAAATTATTAGGTGCAAAATGAATTCCATATAAAAAGTATCCACTAAAACAGCTGCTAAATCAATATTTTATCATCTTATGTTTTAAAATGTATAGAGAGTTTTTCCTTAGGATTCTTCTGGGATGAAGTGGGAGGAACCCACAGGGAAGGTGGCAGAGCCTGTGGGAACCATTGCACCTGGAGTCTCCGCTGGAGCTCAGAGGTCTTGCTGGAGGATGCAGAGAGAAAATACTCTGCTGGGGCAGGTTGTTTAAAGAATTTCAGGGGGGTATTTCCTACTTAAATACGTAAAAAGAGTTTATAATTTTTTTCTATGGAAAAGGCTACTGTTCTTTAGTAATGACCATTTATTTTCTTTAGGCAACCTATTAGGGATCCCTGTAAAAATACCTTAAATCTATTTATAGAACATTTTGAGGTTTCCAGAAAGGTTTCACATACATGTTTTTGTTTGATTTTTGTCTTATTTGTTTCTTAAAACTATAGTTGATTTTTCACATGTTTGAATAGGGTAAAAATTTGTCAATCCTGTTAATCCTGAAAATTGGGGGGAAATTTTGTAGGTTCATGAATTCGTAAGACTCTAGAACATTCTGTATATTGGGAGAGCAGGCAAAGCAGTAAGGTGAAATGACCCTGGGGGAACCATTCAGTAAACATAAGGAGTCATTGTCAAATGTTAAAGAAAGGCTGTCACGGGGCTGCACAGCACCTTTTTCTTTTTCTTTTTCTTTTGTTTTTGCTAATATGTACTGGGAATCTCAAAGGGTCAGATTTGCAATAGAATATTTAGAATTTTAAAACTTATTTGACCACTGAAATGCTTTGGGAGATCATTCATAGCAAATTGCTAATTTGTAAGAGAAGAGGGTAAGAGAAAGTTGTGGAAAAAAAATTGTAAATGAACATCTCTTCTGGTTTTAAAAGTTCATGTTATCTAAAATGCAACAACTTTCTTCAACTGAAGAAATATGTGACGTCATTCAAGTTAAGGAAATAGTTTAATCAACCACACTGTTAATGTTTAAGTTTTTAAAATTTATTTTAACTTATTGTTTTTATACCTTGTCACAATGTTAGTATAACTATTCAACAAATTTTAAAAGCTTCATGAATTCAGTAAGATAAAAGAAGCCCTTACCATACTTCATAATAGAGTCATTTCATGAACATGCCTTCATAGAATGAATGCAAATACATAGTATTAACTTAATATTTCAGTGTAAATCATTCATAATACTTATTTTGGAATCTGTAATAAAGTAGCTTAGATTTTTAGGTGCAATTTTTTTAGTAACATGATTATAAACACTTATTTAAATATTTGAGAGACTTTTGTGTCAGATACTGCATGGGGTACCAACAGGGCCTCCATATACTGTGTCATAGACCTGGAGGTGAGTAGGGTGCAGCCCTTCGCTCCCGTGACTCATGATTGGAATTAATATTTCTAGGAGAAGTAAAAAGTTTTAACACTTCCATTTTATTAAACTTCACACACAGACATGCATATAGGTAGTTTGACTTCAGACATTTCCATGTCTAGCAAAATTATTTTCTCATATTTACATTTGCTATAATTCCTATATTTCTTTATCATTTCCCATATCTTTCTACTTAGAAATCCAGAGACAAATGAATTAAGAGGAAATAGTGACATCTTTCTTACCTGTCTTTTTGGGCCCACATGGGTTTCTTATTGATACATAGTATATAAGCTCTAGATTTCTCCTAAAATGAAGTTTTTAAATTTATAAATCCCTGAAATAAATTTTTAAGGTAACATAGATTTTTTTTTTCAGATTATTTGAGGTTGGCCTCATCACAGCTTTTAGGTGACTTAACTGGCCTACAACAACCAACTAGAGCTTCTTTAATCAGTTTGGTACATACATACTTTGTACTATTGTAAATTTAAATATGGTTGCATTTATATATTTTTTTTATCTCTAACATGAGATCTTAGAGACTTTCTATCTTCTCCTTTTTCTTTTTCTGTAATTATTATCTTTGATAATAATCCTAACAAAAAGTAAAGCTTTTTCAAGTTGAATTCAAATCCCATAGCACTGTTGCCTAAATGATAGATGAGAAATTAAGTAAAATGTTTTCCCAGTCTAGCTCTGATATCATATTGAGGTCTTATTAAACCAGATAACTGTCATTTACAGTTCTAATGATAAGCACTGCAGTATGAATAAGGCAATGTCAGCAAAAAGTTCAGCATTCAAAAAATCTTTTAAAATAAAAATTTTAGAAATGGCAATTTTTATGGCATTTTTCCCATGATAGCTATTTCTAATGGACCATAATAACTTTGCTGATGTACAGTTTTTTTATTACTCTATAAAATATCCATGAGTCTTGTGTTTTGCTTTTGGTTTGGATTATATCAATGATGATGAACTTCAGAAAAATAAGAAAGCAAATAGAAAGACTCTAGAATCTCATGTTGGTTTTCAGCAGCTATCTTATACTTTCTTCTTTAAATTTATAGTAGAACAAAGTATGCTTGTAACAAATTGTTTATAGAAGCCTCAACTGGTTGTCTTAAATGATGAAGAGGAAAGAATAAAGGTTAATAAAACATAGAATTTAGAAAAACTTAGAACTATAGAGGGAAACATTATAGTATTAAGAAAATAAGAGTGGTGAAGAA